AGCTATTTCATTCATTGCTAATGAGTACAAAGTGAGAGGACCTTGTTGATGGGCAACCTGGTAATATAAAAAAATGTTTATGTTCACACAAAAATCTGTACGTGAATGATCATAGCAGCTTTATTTGTAATAGCCAAAAACTGGAATTAGTCCAGATATCCTTCTACAGGTAACTGGCCAAACAAACTGTGGTATATTCATACCATGGAATAAATAAAAGGAATGAACTATTGATCCACATAAACACTCAGATCTCCGGGGAATTATGCTGCATGAAAAAAGACAACCTAGGCACAGTGGCTCATGCCTGTAACCTCAGCAACTTGAGAGGCTAAGGCAGGAACACTGCTCACAGCTAGGAGTTTAAGATCACCCTGGGCAAACATAGCAAGGCTCCATTTTACATTCCTACAAAAATTTAAAAATTAGTCTGGCATGGTGGCAGGCACCTGTAGTCTTGGCCACTTAGGAGACTGAGGCTGGAGGATCGCTTGAGCCCAGGATTTTTTCTTGTCTTTTTTTTTTTTTTTTTTAACATTTTTTTTTCTTTATGAGATGAGGTCTTGCTCTGTCACCAGGCTGGCGTGCAGTGGCGTGATCTTGGCTTACCACAATCTCTGCCTCTGAGGCTCAAGAGATCCTCCCACCTCAGTCTTCCAAGTAGCTGGGACTATGGGAGCATGCCATCATGCCCAGCTAATAAGCCCAGGCTTTCAAGGCTGCAGTGAGTTATGATTGAGCCACAGTACTCCATCCTGGGTGACAAAGCAAGATCCTGTTTCTAAAACATTAAAAAAAGACAATCTAAAAAGTTATGTACTCTAGTATTACATTTTTGAAACTATGAAATTTTAGAAGAAGACAGATTAGTGGTGGCAAGGGTTAGGGAGGGGATGAGGTGGGTGGGAGGGAAGGAGGTATGATTATAAAAGGGCAACATGAAGAATTCTTGTTGTGTTAAAACTGTTCAGCTTCTTGACTGTAGTGGTAGATACACAAAATTACACAGGTAATAAAATTGCATAGTACTTAATATATACACATATGAGAACAAATACAACTAGAGAAATCTGGATATGACTGGTAGATTATATCAAGGTCAATATTCTGGTTGTGACATTATATTGCAGTTTTATAAAATGTTACCATTTGGTGAAAGTGGGCAAAATGTACAAGAGACCTCTCTGTATTATTTCTTACAGCTGCATGTGGATCTACAATGATCTCAGTTTTAAAAGCTTTGATAGATTATTAATGTCTCTGTTGGGTATAGGAGGGAAAAGGGGCCGCCTTGTGTTTCCAATGTAGAATTCCAACAAGGAAGACTAATAATTATTATTCTCATTAGGGTACATCAATAAAATGAACACAACCATGGGAGGTGGGTATTTGTATCCATTGACCAATAATTCCACTTCTCAGAATTAACTATTTAAAATGCATGAAGGTTGGGTGCAGTGGCTCACGCCTGTAATGCCAACACTTTGGGAGGCCAAGGAGGATGGATCACCTGAGGTCAGGAATTCAAGACTAGCCTGGCCAATATGGTGAAACCCCATCTCTACTAAAAATACGAAAATTAGCCAGGCGTGGTGGCACACGCCTATAATCCCAGCTACTTGGGAGGTTGAGGCAGGAGAATCCATCACTTGAATCCAGGAGGCAGAGGTTGCAGTGAGCCGAGACTGCACCATTGCACTCCAGCCTGGGCAACAAGAGCAAAACTCTGTCTCAAAAAATAAAATAAAATAAAATAAAATGCATGAAGTTTTATTTGTTTGGATATTCACTGTGGTATTTTTTATAATAGTAAAAATATCTAAATGATTCAAAATAGGGGATGAGCCTCATAAATCACAGCATATCCAGTGGATGAAATACTCTATAGTCTTTAAACATACTTTAAAAAACACACTCAGTACAATGCCTGGCATACAGGCATCAATAAATGGAGTTCTCTTTACTGGGTTGTTCTGGGTATCAAAAGAGTTAATGTAGATAAATGTAATTAACAAACTGTAAAGTGCCTAGCAAATGCTAGTTGTTGCTATCCTTCTAATGACTATCTCTCCCACCTCCATCCTGGATGAAGCTGAACTTCCAGGCAGAACAGTGGCCAAGGTACTCTGGCTTGAGAGGCATAGGAATGGGGTAACTGATTTCTTGGGGAGTCTGAGTCAAGGATTGGGACTACTTTCTTTCCAGAGGATGGCCACCCCTACTCCACATCATGTAGAAAACTACATTCTCCCCCAGCACATGCACATACATTCAGCCTTTAATCTCAGGGAACTCACAAAGTCTTGGAAGCAATATCAGCCCTGCTAACTTCATAAAAGTAGTAGTGGCCGGGCGCGGTGGCTCAAGCCTGTAATCCCAGCACTTTGGGAGGCCGAGACAGGCGGATCACGAGGTCAGGAGATTGAGACCATCCTGGCTAACACAGTGAAACCCCGTCTCTACTAAAAATACAAAAACTTAGCCGGGCGAGGTGGCAGGCGCCTGTAGTCCCAGCTACTCGGGAGGCTGAGGCAGGAGAATGGCGTGAACCCGGGAGGCGGAGCTTGCAGTGAGCTGAGATCCGGCCACTGCACTCCAGCCTGGGTGACAGAGCGAGACTCCGTCTCAAAAAAAAAAAAAAAAAAAAAAAAAAAAAGTAGTAGTACTCTTGCACCATCCACTGTTGAGTGAGCATCTACTGAGTATCAGGCACTGTTGTAGGTGCTTTACACACATTATTTCATGAAATTCTCACAACAGACTTAAGGAGTAGTTGTTTATCTGCATTTTACAAGAAAACTAGGACTCAAAGAGGTTAAGTGAATTACCAAGGTAGCACAGCTGGTAAGTGGTAGAGAAGGCACTGGAACCGAGAGCTGTCTGTCTCCAAAACTTGTGATCTAACCACCATACATACTACATTACATTTAGAAGAACTGAGAAGCAGTGCACTGTGTGGAAACTGTGCTGAGGCTGTGTGGAAGAGGCCTGGAAAAGTAACCCTGGTTCATCCAATGCTTCTTAGGTAGACACAAAAACAAACCGGCAGGCAGAAGAAAAATCTCAGAAGAGAAGCAGGTCCAATCTGAAGTCTTTCATCTCATGAGTAAGTTTTTCCATATGTCTACCCTCTATCCTTTCTGCTAAAATCTGATGCCTTTTCCTCTCTTCTGTTTCCAGTGAGGATGCTGAGTGGAAGACATAGTGCCCCTCCATGAAAGGTCAAGAGAGGACGGAAGGAGTTTTCTTTCCCCAGCTTTGTTGAGGTCATGACTAGGATGCCTCCATCTTCTCAGTCTCTTGGATCTACCCCAAGGTATCAAACTAGAAGATGTGTAAGAGAAAATGACCCAGGAAGGAAAAGTAAAAAGCAGCAGCATAACCAGACCAAAAAGACCAGCTTAGAGAATGACCCGGGGGTCTCTTAGGATCCTTTTTTTTTGAGACGGAGTCTCGCTCTGTCGCCCAGGCTGGAGTGCAGTGGCGCGATCTTGGCTCACTGCAAGCTCCGCCTCCCGGGGTTCACGCCATTCTCCTGCCTCAGCCTCCCAAGTAGCTGGGACTACAGGCGCCTGCCACCACGCCTGGCTAATTTTTTGTATTTTCAGTAGAGATGGGGTTTCACTGTGTTAGCCAGGATGGTCTTGATTTCCTGACCTCGTGATCCGCCTGCCTCAGCCTCCCAAAGTGCTGGGGTTACAGGCATGAGTCACCGCGCCTGGCCAGTCTCTCAGGATCTTAGTGCTGGGCTCAGGGTGACGTTAAGGTGGGCAGTTTCTCCCACCAGACTCAGCAGCGGGCTTCATGTCTGACATCTACCCAGCTGTAGAAGTCCAGCCAGCATTTCTCAAGCCAGTGCCTCTTGTCTTGATATGACATCTCTACAGCTACCTCTCTCTCAGACATAAAGGAGGGATCTGAGGGTCCTCCCACTCTGTATTTACCCTTCTGTTTCAATACTACCTGGCTGTATTTGCTCAGGTGCAGGCAACCCAACTGGTGGCTTAGAGATGCCCAAGGAAGATCATAATTTTGTGAAGAGATGCTAGGATCCCAAGGCTAGATCCAAAGGAGCTCTTCCAGGATCTCAAGGCTAGGTCCAAATTTACTTCCTCTTTTCTCTCCACTGAGAGCCAGGAGGGCAGCAGGGGCCTAAGACTGGACACACAGAATGGAGGGGAGGGGTGTCAATTGCCCCCTCCCTCCTCCACACATTATTCTACCCTGCTGGTACCCAAGCATGCCTGCCGCTCACTTGGCTTCCCTCAGCCCATCTACCCTATGGACAGGAGAGGGTTAAAGGCATGGTATGGGCAAGCTATAAATTTCCCATCAGTGTGGGGAGAGCGGGATTGTTGGCAGGGAGGGGGTTGGGCTTGGGGGGAGGGGGAGCTGGGAAAAAGCCAGGAGGTTGTCTCTAGGTAACAATAAACACTGCAAGCAAGGAGCAGCTGTTACACTTACTCTCTCTGCATCACAATGCTGAAATAACACTAATAAACCAGTGTGCCCAATGCACTGGCATACACACATTTAGGGCTGGGACCCCACTGTACCCCTATGGCTGCCCTCTGCTCCAGGGCAGGGTCCTTCATGGCAGTGGACATACCTGTCCTGGCCTCAGTACACTTGTGGGGAAGGATGAAGACTGGCAAGTTCTCCCCATTCCAGTGGCATTCTCAGGGTCAGGATGGTGACGGAGGCTGGAGATCTTGGGTTCAGATCCTGGTGGCATTCACTGGAAAGAGTTGAAACAGGGAGAGCTCTCATTTGGGAGCTGGGAGAAGGGGAGGAGAGTGAGAGAAAAGCATAGGGAACAGACAACTACTTACCACGTCCTTTCAGACTGGAGGGGATGAGGTAGCCAGGAATGGAGTTGGCTAAAGGGAGGTGAAAGAAAAGGCAGGCAGAAAATAGGGTTTGAGAAAGTAGAAGATTAGGGAGCATGTGGTATCATGGCATGTTTTCTTTTTTTTCTTTCTTTTCTTTTCTTTTCTTTCTTTTTTTTTTTTGAGACAGGGTCTCACTCTGTTGCCCAGGCTGGAGTGCAGCGGCACAATCTTGGCTTACTGCAATCTCCACCTCCCAGGCTCAAGCAATCCTCCTACCTCAGCCTCCTAAGTAGCTGGGACTAGAGATGTATGCCACCACACCTGGCTAATTGTGTGTGTGTGTGTGTGTGTGTGTGTGTGTGTGTAGAGATGAGGTTTCACTATGTTTCCCAGGCTGGTCTCGAACTCCTAAGCTCAAGCGATCTGCCCACCTCGGCCCCCCAAAGTGCTGGGATTATAGGCATAAGCCACTGCGCCTGGCCATGGCATGCTTCTTATATCTCTCCCAGGGCTAAACTCCCTACACCTGCTTACATCTGGCCTGGTGGACCCAAGATCCCCCTCACAGTACTACTTTTATACCCAGGGCCAGGTTGTTGGTTTAGTTCAGCACTGAGCTTTATTATATATGTCCCAGCAGGGAACCTGGGGCTTTTCATACTGCCCAGGAGAGCTTGGGGAATGGAGCTCTTCCTGTCTTCCTACACAAGGAGTGGCTAATCATCTGTCCTTTTTCTAACCAAAGCCATCTCTGGACCACCAGGAGCAAGTGGGCAGAGGGTCCCTCATCCTGGCAGGAGAGCAGAGCTGCCAGCAATGAAAGGAACAGAAATAGGCAAATGAGAACTCAGACTCTGTCACAGAACCCTCCTCCTCTTAGTCCATCCTTCTCTGAAGATGGGATGTTTATTTTTTAATTAATTAATTAATTAATTTTTTGAGACAGAGTCTTGCTGTGTCACCCAGGCTGGATTACAGTGGTGCAGTGGTGTGATCTCGGCTCACTGCAACCTCTGCTTCCCGGGTTCAAGCGATTCTCCTGCCTCAGCCTCCTGAGTAGCTGGGATTACAGGCACCTGCCACCATGCCCGGCTAATTTTTTGCATTTTTAATAGAGACGGGGTTTCACCATATTAGCCAGGATAGTCTCCATCTCCTGACCTTGTGATCCGCCTGCCTCGGCCTCCCAAAGTGCTGGGATTACAGGTGTAAGCCATTGCGCCAGCCGGATATTTACTATTATGTGTCTGGATATGCTGGCAAGTAAGATCGCTGTTACTTTTTTTTTTTTTTGAGACAGAGTTTCGCTCTGTTGCCCAGGCTGGAAGGCTGGAGTGCAGTGGCGCGATCTCAACTCAGAGATCGCTGCAACCTCTGCCTCCCGGGCTCAAGAGATTCTCCTGCCTCAGCCTCCTGTGTAGCTGGGACTACAGGCGCCCACCACCACACCCAGCTGATTTTTGTATTTTTAGTAGAGACGGGGTTTCACCATGTTGGTCAGGATGGTCTCTATCTCCTAGACGGGGTTTCACCATGTTGGTCAGGATGGTCTCTATCTCCTGACCTCGTGATCCACCCACCTCGGACTCCCAAAGTGCTGGGAATACGGGTGTGAGCTGCCATGCCCGGCTATCCTAGCTGTTACTCTTTACCAGATCCAGTATAGGCCCCTGGGACTGGAGTCCAAGGCATGAATGTTCTCCTGGTCCACTTTCTGGCCTCTTTTCCCTGGTGTGACCTCAAACACAGTACCTTATTATCCCCCCTTCAGAAAAATGGAGACGATGCATACTGCCCACCTGGCACACAAGGGAAGAGGAAATTGACATGTCTGAAGAGCTATGGTTCTGCACCCACCTCCACAGCCTGCACCACTACCTTGGTTCAGCCAACGTAGGAGTCCCTAGCTACTTCTCTCTTGTCCCACGTGTCTGTTTCCAGAAAGGAGAGTACTGAGACCTAGCAGTTATCCTTCCAGGTTCTGGTGTTATAACACAGCTTGTTTTACTTCTAAAAATTTAGTGTCAGCTGGGTACCTAGAGTTCTGGGCAGGCAAGAGAGGACAGGGAGGAGTAATTGTGTTTGCCTAGGAAGCCCCTCTTCTGTGAAGTACCCAGGGGCACTGAGCTACCCTAGCACAGGTGGATGCCCCATACCCCCTGTGCACCCAACGAATACAGTAGGGCAAGAATAACTGGCCTCTCCTATCCTTTCCTCAGTGAGATACCTTTCACTGGGAATGCTCAGTTTCCCCTGCTATCTTCTCTCCCATTTCCCTCTTTTTTCATGGTTGGGGCCTCCCCTGCTCCACAATCCAGATGAGGCACCTTCATTCACAGAGCTCAGAGTGGGGAGATATGGGGCAAAAGAGAGCTCTAACAGGCCTGGACCCCTTCCCCTCTGTTGTTTTTGTGAGCCACCTCCACTGCTGTGAGTCACCAGAACCTTGAGCTTGCTGAGCTACCAGCAGCCTTCTTCCTCTTTCCTTCCTCCAGCCAGGCAGATATGTGCCCAATGGGCCCCAGAGCCTGCCATCTTCCTATCTTCAAGCCCACAGTCCCTTCCTTCATTTCTAGGAATCCGCAACATAACACATGGAAATGAGTGAGCAAAGGAGTGTGAGAGACCTCAGCATGTGCTCTGTGCTGGGGCAGAGAGCTGGCTGCCTGCACAGCAGAGCAGGATCACTAGCCAGGCGAGCTGCCACACTTGGGCAAACAGCCCTGTCAGCATGTGAGTGGGGAAGCAGGAGAGGATGGGGTAAGAATGCTGTTTCAGGAGCAGGCATCTCCTCCTGGCTTCCTCTCTAGTCACTTTCTTCTCCTTGGCCTTTCTCCTTGGGTGCTGATGGACACCATGGCACTGCCACCTCTATCTACCCCTGTCTTGGCCTTTCTTCCCTTTCTTCGTGGCTTTGGAAGCTACAGAGAGGGGACCTGCTTAATAAACTCCAAGGTGTCAAGATGGGAGGTTTAGACATCCAGATCTCTCTTTAACCAGTGGGAAAAATTTAGGGGAGAAGGAGGAAAGAGGTCCTATTAGAGTAAGAGCTAAGCCCTAGGCTAACACTGAGCACCTCACCTAGTCCCTTTTCTCCAAAGTGCAGGAAATTCTGGGTACTACCATTTTTAACTTCCACTCACTTCAAGTCACCCCTCTTCCCCGCAAAGACCTGGCACCCTTGTATAAACCTTAGGAATGAGAGGCTGAGCCACACTCCTGTAATCCCAGTACTTTGGGAGGCTGAGGTATGCAGATCACTTGAGGTCAGGAGTTTGAGACCAGCCTGGCCAATATGGTGAAACCCGTCTCTACTAAAATTACAAAAATTAGCTGGGCATGGTGGTGTATGCCTATAATCCCAGGTACTTGGGAGGCTGAAGCAGGAGAATCGCTTGATCCTAGGAGGCAGAGGTTGCAGTGAGCCGAGATCACGCCACTGCACTCTCCAGCCTGGGCAATACAGTGAGACTCCATCTGAAAAACAAACAAATAAACAAAAAAGCCTTAGAAGTGGGAGGCAGATCTTGTAACAGGAGTTACAAGAAAGGAGGCTCTGTTCCTTGGAGAAACACCCAGATTAGACTGAATGCTTTTAGGGCCTTTTAGCCCTAGCTCTAACATGACTGCAATATGTTGGAGTAGGGATAGACAACGGGTGAAAAACAGGGCTTACGGAAAGCCTGCCACCCTCTCTCCTTCAATGCATGCTCCTTTCCACTGCTGTGTGTCCCAGAGTAGAAACAGCAGCTCTGTAAACAGCAGCCATTTAATAAATCCTACAAACAATACTTGCTCTAAATGTCCTGCCACACATTAGGCAGCCAGCCCCACAGGTGGGACTACAGGTCTCATTTCCCAAACTTCACCCTCTGCCTTGTCACCACGTTCAGGCTTTTATCTGCTCTCCCCTGACAAGAGAATCTTCCTTTCCAGCCCCTTGGCACAGCCTTCCTCCCGCTGACACCCCTGGGGCCCTTAGAAGTAGGCAAGGGGTCCTAGATAAATTATTTCCAAACTGTTTTGGAGGGATCTGAGGAGAGCTCTTCTCATCCTGTCTGCAGTCGAGAAGGCAGGCAATGAGACAGCCAAGGAGATGACTCAGTCTGAAGGAACGGCTGGGAGAGGCTGGGGGCACTCTGGCAGATCCTGCTCTTCTCAGGGGATTTGGGGATATAAAATGGGGGAGAGAAGGCAACTCTTGAGTCGGGGAAGGGTGTTGGGGGCCTGGGTAGTGTGATAAAAGTTTTTACTGGCACTGCTTTCCAAGCTCTGTGCCTATCCTTGCCCCTACCCTAACTTAGTCTCATGAAGCATGGAACTAAAAATGTTGAATTTTCTGAGGAAGGAGGAGGATGGCAAGAAATGCCACCTTGGCAACCTAATGGGAGAGCCCCCTTTCTCCTTCATTCCTTCCCTCCTAACCCTAGCATGTGAACAGTGAAGGAAGCAAGGGGATAGGGATGGGTACAGCTGGAAACTTGCCCCTTTCTCCAGTGTACATCAACACTACAAGAGCCAGAGGGGTCTAAGAGCTCTAAGGCCATGGCACCACATGAATTCAGAAGCGTTTCTAATTCAGTCTTCAGGGCCTTGAATTTAAATTATGTCTCTGTTCTAGGCTTCACCATGAGACAAGAGGTATAAAACTACTCCTTAATACATTTTTTGGCATAAGTTTCTCCAGTGGCTTATTATATTGCAACAGGGAAATATGTGATAAGATTTCAAAAAAAAAAGCTCAACATTTAGTCTTCATTGGGGGTTTTGCTTCTTGGTTAAGGAGGTGGGGTAAATAATGCATTTCCTTCCCTGTAGATCTTATAAGACACGGTAAAACTCCATAGGGGCCAGGGGCTGTAGGGGATTTGTGTACTTGGAAGCAAGAGAATGGATAAGATGACCTCTGGAACAGGCTGTATAGAGGAAATGTCCCCGCAACAGTGCTCCATAGAAGCTGAACCTATCCATGACTCCCCTAAGTTGCTTCTAAGACAGGGGATAGAAACTTGAGACTTCAAGCAATGGAGAATAATGTCCTGCATACCTTCTTCCCTTGACTTTTCTCCCCCAACACCTACCTACCTTTCCTTTTCCTGTGTTCCCAGAAATTCTCCAAATCCAGGAACACAAAGCAATTCCAGGACAAGATTCAAATGATTTCCCCTCTCTGGGTCCTGTTTTTCATATCTGCAAAATGAAGTGGTGGGGCAAGATTAGCTCCAAGTTCCCTTTTTTTTTTTTTGAGATGGAACCTTGCTCTGTTGCCCAGGCTGATTCTCCTACCCCAGCCTCCCCAGTAGCTAGGATTACAGGCACGCATCACCATGCCCGGCTAATTTTTTTGTGTTTTTTGGTAGAGATGGAGTTTCACCATGTTGGCCAGGCTGGTCTCGAACTCCTGGCCTCAAGTGATCCACCTGCTTTGGCCTCCCAAAGTGCTGGGATTACAGGCGTGAGCCACCGCGCCCGGCCAAGTTCCCTTTCTTGCAACAGAAAGGTTCTATGATTCATACCCCAAAAGGCATCAGGCCTCATTTGCATGCCATTTTGCAATGTAATCTCCATGGCATTTATTTTATGTCAAAACGGACAGAAATATCTCTGAACCCTGCCCTTCTCCTCTGTCTCTCCATAGTCTCTGGTTCTATGGTCCATAGCTCGTCTTCTCTCTACAAGGACCTCAAAGCTCTGTCCCCACCTTCCTTTCACAATTTTATAGCACTCCCTGGGACAAGCCCAACCAGACAAAACCCCAGGAGCAAGAAAACAGCCTCACCTCATATTCTGGCTGTGATTTTGGGCTCCAGACCTGAGTCAACCAGTATAGTTCCAATCCGTTTGGAGGTCCTGGCAGTTGGGGGGAAATCCTGGCACCTCTCCCCAGTGCCTCCCCTCCTCCACCTCGCTATTCTCCATGCCAGAACGCAAAGTGGCCAGTGATTGATGGGCCTGGGTTCTCGGTAACCGCACCCAGTGGCCCAATCCTCCTCCCTTACCCAATCCCTCCCCTGTCCCTATTCAGATATCAGATTGTCTCATGTTGGTCCCTGAGGTCCCATTAATTAAAAATACATCCAATTAAATGGCAGGTGAAAACGTGCTATTGGAGCTGTATACCCCCCTGCCCCAGCTTGGTCTCTCCACCCCCTCAACCCCCCCTTTTAAGGCTCAGCTGTGCTTTCAGCTGAGAGAGAGAGAGAGAGAGAGAGAGAGAGAAAGCATGAGGGAGAGAGTAGAGGAAGACATGGGGCAGGGTATGATGGGGGGGTTATTTGATCCTCTGCCAGGGTAGCATGTGCCAGCCTGGGAGGGTGGCACCATGCCCTGGTGTCTAATTTCTGGAGGTGTGAGTAGGTTGTCAGCTGGGTACCCATTTCCATTTCCCTTAAAGGGGCAGAGGGCAGTCAGAGGGCATGGCTAGCTATAATGCCTTCCTTTTGGGCTTGGTGGATGAAGGGCAGAAGTGTAGATGGCAGAGGGGCCTCGGGGGCGACATGTAAAAATCAGGGATTGGGAGAGTCTGAGGCCTCCATTCCTGGCATATCACTGCTCTTCCCCAAACTGGGAAGAATATAACAAGGAGCAGGCTGGGACCCAGGTGGCAGGGCATGGTGATGCTCCCAAGCCTGGCTGTGCCTACCACTGCCCACAGGAAAGATGAGAGAAGAATGGAGAGAGGGAGGAAGGAGCCATAACTTGGGTGGGAGCAGATGGGTCAGACAGGATAAAATATGCAGAGAGAGATGTTCATGTGGGCATCATGTCCCCTAGCACTTTATCGGTAAAGGACTTAAAAGGACCTGTCCTGTTTATCTTTTCTCCAAGCAAAAAGGAGGAGCAGAGCTGTAGTGTGAAGTCACCTTGGCCTGGCTGCCTGGCAGGCAGTGAGTAGGGTATCTCCCTTGATGAGCACGGACCCACTCTCATTCTCCTCCATACTTATGGTATCCCTAGCATTTTAGGTAAGGCATTTGCCCCCCTCCACCCCTCTGCAAAGCCCTCTGGCTCCAAGCGATACAAAGCTAATGGGCACTGAAAGCTGTTGGGAAAGGAGCTGGGAAAGTAGGGGTGACTAAGGGTGACTCTCAGAATCCAGGCCAGAGTGGGGGTTTTGCCGACCCAGGGCCCCTGCCTGGCCTCCTTGGCAGCCTCAGCACCTCCTCACTTCACTTTAACGCTAATTGGAGATTTTAATCTGCACTGCTGCTCTGCTCGGGGTGCTGGGGGGAGCGCCAGCTGTGCAGTAATTCCAGCAGCACCGACTGTTTAATCAAGCTGTCCTCCTGGGGAGGGGCCCTCAGGCATGGGGGCAGGAAGGAGGAGGAGAACCTCTGTCATCTCCCTTAGCCTGTTCAGCCTGGAAGGGCTTCATGGAGATGGAGGGCCAATTGTGGAGTCCTCAGTCCCATAGAGGCCCCATGGCCATTTGGCACCCCTAGCAGAAACACTTTCTGATATAGGGTGGGTATGAGGCTCATGGCCCAAAGCAGCCCACCCTCCTATCCAGCTTTCTGACACCATTTTTGGCTCAGAGCCCTGGAATGTCCTGGGGTGTATTCCAGCCACTGAGGCTGTAAACATTCACTAGACCATCTTGAATTCTATAGGTTTGTGCTGCAGTAGGTGACAGGGAGACTAACTCTCCCAGGCTTCAGTCACCCCTAACACTTTCTCACTAACTAAATACTTTTCTTAGAACAATTATAAGAGATTTTTTTCCCCTAAAAACCACAGGCACCTCCACCGTCTGGGTCAGAAAGTGACTGCCATTAAGGCAGGGGGACAACGGGGCACACAGCTGGAACCTGCTACACCTTGAGGGAAAGAAGCACCTTTGCAAGGTGTTCAGTGCCTGGAAAGAGGGGGGCTTCCCAAGTTCAGCTGGAAGCACATTGAGATGTCAGGCCACTAGGGCAAAGTGTTTAGAGGTCTCAGGCCACTTTAAAGGAAGAACAAGTGGTACCAATTATTTGTCTCACTTTTTGGGCACCTGCTCTCTGGGAGTGTTTCTGACCCCTGTTTTGGAGAAAGGGTGCCCTCATTCCCAAACTTTCTGCTAAGGGGCATGAGTTTTAATTGGCCAGCAGTGCCCTCGTGTGGCAGAAACCATGACCGCAGCTGCCCAACTAGCAGGGCTGTTCTGTGCAATCAGATAACCTGGTAGACAGACATGTAGATAAGTTAAAAATGCTGGTGCTCAAGGTACCCCACGAATACTTACTGCTTGACTACATCCAGGGACGTTTCTTGCTAACACCTGCCCTATCCTTCTGTCTACCTCAGCCCACCTGCTTCACCTCTAACTCAACCCATAAGCCTACCAGGAGAGGGAGCACCTTACCCAGAGGTGGCACTTATTTGAGCTCCTGCATGTGCTGTCTGGATTGCAGGGATGAGAGAGGCACTGCAGAGAGAGGAGGCCTAGGGTCAAGAAGATAACCTGATGTCACCTCCTATGCCCAGGAGGCAGGGAGATGCTCTGCCCACACCTGACCCCCCAACTCTCAACAGGCCCCAGAGGAGAGCTGATACCTGAGCTCAAGACAGTAACACTTAGTAGTTGATTCTGCTTTATGGCCATCTATTTTCCACTCCCTGGGGGCATCTGGGAATGAATATGGGCAGATTATCAGAGCCTAAGATCCTGGTCCTGGGAAATAGACACTAGATAAAGCATCTTTCCTTTTGGACCAGTCCGGATATTATTAAAAACAAACACACACACAAAACCATTCCCTCAAAACATACAGGTAGGTTGGGTGCAGTGGCTCACACCTATAATCCCAGCACTTTGGGAGGCTGAGGTGGGTGTATCACCTGAAGTCCGGAGTTCGAGAGCAGCCTGACCATCATGGAGATACTCCGTCTCTACTAAAAATACAAAAATTAGCCGGGCATAGTGGCACATGCCTGTAATCCCAGCTACTCAGGAGGCTGAGGCAGGAGAATAGCTTGAACCCGCGCGGGCAGAGTTGACATGACCAAAATCGCTGACCATCCTCCACAGCCTTGGGCAACAAGAGCGAACTCCGCGCTTCTCAAAACATAAAAAAAAAAAAACAAAATCCAGAGTATCTCAATCCCAGGGAATTATTGACAATTGCCAACTAGGAAGAATGCACATCTGTGCTTCAGATCCTGAGCCGCCAGAAGAAAGGGCTTACCTGTCCTGATTAACTCTCCTTCCATCCAGTACCAAATAAGAGTCTGTTTAACTGGTCCCTTCCCCACCCACTAAATGGGACAAAATGGCGTCATAACTATAGAAAAAAGGATGGCACATTTGATACCAGGCAGGTTAACAGCCTCTCTAAGATCAACTGAAAGTTACAACGACACTACCAGTAACTATCCAAGACCTTCCCCTGTGCGAGACACTTCTATAACAGAGAAACAATCGCGAGAGAGAAACATAACCCATGTTGGGTTGACGGGTAGCGCGAACAGCACACCTACCAGCACAGCAAGAACAAAACTGGGTAGACACCAGGACCTGGTGACCTGTCCCGCTCTGAGCATCGAGAATGGCTGAAGCAGGCTCTGCAGGCCTCTAACTTCCTGTGTCCAACACAGTGCCTCTGCCAGTGCGAGCCGCCAAGTTGAACCGGAAGGAAGTGAAGGCTGACTAAGTACGTGAGAGAGACAGAACCCTACACTCTTGACTGAAAGAAAGGATAAGAAATAGCCTTTTTGGTGCCCTTGCAGCAACCATCACCTTAAAGTTGAATGAGCCGGCCGGTGCCTCAAGCCTGTAATGCCCAGCACTTTGCGAGCCGCAGTACTGGGGGATCACGAGTCAGGAGATCGAGACATCCTGCCCTACACGTGAAACCGCCATCTCTACTAAAAAATACAAACAAACGAGCGGCGAGGTGGCGCGCCTGTAAATCCAGCTACTCAGAGCTGAGCGCAGACCCCACCCAGGGGAGGTCAGCTTGCAGTGAGTCAGATCGCCATCTGCACTCCCAAGCCTGGGCCGACAGACAAGACTCCCGTCTCAAAAAAAAAAAAAAAAAAAAAAAAAAAGAAAATTGAATGATACAGAGAAATTACCATGTCCTCTCGTGCAAGGATAGAACGCAAATTTTGTAAAGTGGTCCATCAAAAAGGAGGGAGGAGGAGGGGGGGGGGAAGGAAGATGGGAGGAGAGAGGAGGGAGGAGGAAGAAGTGAAGAGAAGGAAGAAGGAACGAGGAAAAAAAAAACATTCTGTATCCAGACTTTGGGATGCCTGAGGTGAACACGCGAGACACCTGAGGCAGAGTGCAAGACCCCACCTGGCAACATGGTGAAACCCACACCCTACAAAAATACAAAATTAGCCAGGCATAGGTCGCGCACCTGCTATATCCCCATCTTGATCAGCGAACGCTGAAATGAAAATCGCGCCTTGAACCCTGAGCATAGGGTTGTATGAAGCGGAGAATCGTGCCATTTCTCACTCCAGCCTGGGAAAACAGACCAAGAC